ATATGGTGGATTTCATTTATCAGTTTACATATGTTGAATCATCCCTGCATAATTTTATAGTGAAAATTAGATCTAGGGAAAGATACAGTGACAGAAGTGGTGAAAAATTTCCCGAAGTCCATCCAGTTAAAGATGCAGCACATCCCAGACTCCTAAGAGGTTTATATGGAGTTTTCTTGTGTCTCCTTCTTAGTGTGGGTGATCTGGAAGATGCCTGAGTCCCAGACAGCACTTCGAGGGTGATTTACTGGCCATTCATTCTGCACTAACCATCAGGCTCCAGAATGGACCCAAGAATTCCATGTGAACAGATGTTTAAATGTGGTTTTCAAGGGGGCAAGCAAAATGAATTTCTGTTTAATGAAAGAAAGCTTAAATGTCTTACACCCCTCCAAGTCTGGCACTTTCTAGTATCCAGTTAACACTATCTGAATGTGATCAACTGCTCCTAAAAGGGAGACCAGAAGTCACATTGTTATATGTGCCACTGGCTATGAGAAAATAATTTGCATTGAACTTTTAGACGAACAACTGGACAGAAACTGTTCTTCAAAACAAAGAGGGTATTTAAGAAGCACCATTAGGTATAACCAACAGTAAGAGGTTTGGAAAGCTAGAGTGTTATTAGATTAAGATTTGCCAAAGTAAATCATATAGACCAAAGTCCTTTCTGAGCCTCTGTGTAAGCAGCTACATACCAGGGATGCTGGAGACCTAGGGAGAAGTAATTTCAAAAGCAGAGCAAAGTTGAAAACCAGAGACTGAAGGTAGCTGCTTTTCGAGGATTAGCCCTGCCTTAAGATAAAAAGAACTATTTGGAACTAAGTACTTGGCATTGTGCCAACCTTTATTCTAAACTATCTGGGACACTCTTACTCAGCTAGTTTAGGTTATTGTGAAAAGCCAAGCAATTTGGTTTAGAAATAAAAAAGAATGAGTGATCCAATTCCCGAGTGCCAACTGCCCCAACTCCCTTTTCTGCTCCTAAGAGCCCTGGTTGGTGCCACTTCCCTTCAGGTGGCTTTACCATTCCCTCAGCTCAAATGATTATGCCTTCACAGTACCCCAAAGCATATTGCTCATTTATTTACTGTTGAACTTACTTCATCCGGCTCCTCTGCAGTTAAGTATTAGCTGTTTACAGATCTTTACATTTCCTTGTGATGTTGAAGTATTTATTTACACTTTTAAAAATGGAAACTCAACTCCAGCTGGGCTATGAAACTTCTGGATGATCTCCTGTCTCCACATTCCATCTATAGGGATGCTTGGATTACAGATGCATGCCAATGCATGTAAGTTTTTAACATGGGTTTGGAGATTGAACTCAGTCTTCCACAGCAAATGCTTTTACCTATTTACCATCTCACCAGTCCCTAAATGACTTTTTATAATAGATCTGTGGAACTATGAGGAAATTTGGAGTAAAAGTTTCAATTGAAAGCAGAGATCATTACATTACTTTTGGCAATGTTCCATAAAGAGTTTAAAAAAAGAAACTGCAATGAAAAAAAAAAAGAACCCCACAAAATGGGGTTATTTCAGACTAAAACTAAAAAGTTTAAAATAAGAAACCATAATGAGCCAGGCAGTGGTGGCACATGCCTTTAATCCTGGCACTCAGGAGGCAGAGACAGGCAGATCTCTGTGAGTTAGAAGCCAGCTTGGTCTACAGAGTGAGTTCCAGAACAGGCTTCAAAGCTACAAAGAAACCCTGGCTAAAAAAAAAACAAAAAACAAAAAACAAAAAACAAAAAACAAAACCAAAACCACCAAAGGGAAAAAAAAAGAAAAGAAAGAAACCATAATGAAAAACGACAAAATATGTGCTATTTCAGATTACAGCTGGGAGAGGCAAGCAGACAGACTACAGGATACAAAATGGGAATAGAAGGCAACACTGCCTTAGGATTCAAACTTGGATTTAAAAATTACTCTTATGCCACAAACAAGTATACTACATTTTAAGACACAATGTGTTCAAAAGAGGAGGTCTGGAACAAGCAGAGATTTAAAAACATAAAGCAAATTGAGTTTCCTACAAATCATTTTTAGTTAATGTCTTCCAATATAAAAGAAAATTTTAACCAAACAAATATGATCCTGTAACTATTACAAATACCTGGGACACAGATTTCCCACTTTTTCCTCCAGGGTTTAGCCTGGTGAGTACTCCCTAGTACCCAATACTTGTTTTTCTGTAACCTCCCAGATATAGCCTGTCCCACATCCAGTGCCCTGCCTACTCTCACCACCTCCTCCTGTACCAAAGCCAGTCTCCAGGCTTCCACCAGGACCTGCCCTAATTGCATCCACCCACAGGACCCTTTGCACTGAATCCACCATCCTACTGCATACCCAGATTTCCCACATCCTCATTCAGGTTCTAATCTGGTGAATACCCCTGACCTCTTCATCCATGCCTTTCTTGCAACCTACCAGATTTAGCCTGGATCCCAGAATGAGTGCACCAGCCTAGTCTGGCTTCCTGCTGTTACTGCAATGCAGCTCTCAGCTTGGGCTAGGAGATCCTTCTACCTTTCACCACCAGACAATCCTACATCATACCCAATGTTTCCACTCAGACCTATCTACCCTCACACTTCTGGTTCGAAACAGGAAGCATATCCTGTTTCTAACCCAGTCTTTTCTGTCCACCCAAGCCACTTCCAGCCTCTGGACCCAAAATGAACCCACATCTTCTCTTTGTCCCTACCCTGCACTGTCCATAATGAACTCAGAACAAAGGAAGTCTACGTGCTGAGATCTAATCATAAGAACACCAACAATATGAAAAATCAAGCCAGTATCTTCTCTCCAAAACATACCAGTCCTCTGAAAAAGCTTGCTAATGAGATACAGAAATTGAAACACCAAACATAAACTTCCTAAAAGAATGCAAAAAGTAAAGAAAGAAACAGCTCAATGAAATAAGGGAGAAAGAGCTTGAGGAGAATAAATGCCTGCGTGATGCCCCAGAAAACCCTGGATACTAGCTGAGACATTCAATCTTGTGGACTGAGCAAGGATTGTATTCTTGGGCTTTCCACTCGGAGACAACCACTGTTGAAATAGTGAGACCACAGACTAAAAGATACTCCAATAAATCTCATATGTATGTATAATGTTTTTCATTGGACAAAAAAATTTTATAACCAATAAACCAAACCTAAGCATTATTTTGGATGAAGACAAGAATGAACACAGAAAAGAGACTGTGGAAAGAATTATAAAGCCATAATTATTAAAACACAAAATACTACTGAGAACACAATACTACCTGTTGTGAACATCAACAACCTGATGAACACAACTAACACATACATATCAATAATAATTTTAAATATCAATGGCCTCAATTCTTCAATCAAAAGACATAAACTGAATACAGAATAGATCAAGAAACAAAATCAATCTATCTGCTTCCTAAAAAGAAACAAATCTGATTTAAAGATAGGCACCACGTGAGACTAAAAGAATGGACAAAAGTACTCCTACCAAATGGTGCCAGGAAGCAAGCAGGCATTGCGATCCTAATGTATGACAAAATAGACTTCAAACTAAAACTAATCATAGGAGATAAAGAGGGACATTTCATTCCAATCAAGGGAACAGTTAAGTAAAAGGAAATTATTGTTATAAATATATGTTCACAAAACTCAGGGGTGACCAGTTTCATAAAAAATCTACTACTGGAATTAAAGATACAAATTAGCACCAATCCATTAATAGTAGATGATCTCAACATTCCACTTCCTTCAGTAGACAGATCATCTGGACAAAACATAAACAGAGTAACATCAGAATTTATGGATATCATACATCAAATTTACTGAACATATATCTACAGAATTTTCTATTCAAACACCAAAGAATACACATTCCACTCAGCGGCAGATCGAAGCTTTTCTAAGAGAGACCATACCCTGGGACACAAAAGAAATCTTTACAAACTCAAAAATATTAATCACCTCTCGTATCCTACCTGATCACAATGCAATACAACTTAAAATTGACAGCAAAAATACCTCTAGTAAATACACAAACTTGTGAAGATTAACCAATTCATTACTAAACGCTGAATGAGTTAAAGACAGAATAAAAAATTCCTGGAACTAAATGAAAATGAATAAACAACACAACAAAAGTTCTGGGACACTCTGAAAGCAATCCTACAAGGGAAATTATAGCTCCAAGTGCCTAATTAAACAATCAGAAAGAACACAACAAATGACTTAGTGATGCAATTCAAAAAGTTTGAAAATCAAACAAACCAAATCCAAACCAGTCAATGGTAAGAAGGAATAAAAATTCAGAGCAGAAATCAACAAAATAGAAATAAAGAAAACAATACAAAGAATCACTAATCTAAGCACTCTTTGAGAAGATAAACTGACAGACCCTTGACCCAACTAACCAGAGAGGACCCAGATAAACAGAATCAGAGATGAACAGGAAAACATTATAGCAGATACCAAAGAAATTCAGAATATTATAAGAGGATATTTAAAAAACCTGTACTCCATTAAGTTGTAAAATCTAAAAGAAATATATTATTTTCTAAATGCAGCCAAACTACAAAATTAACCCAAGAAGAAACCAACAACTTAAACAAGCCCATAACTAAAGAGGAGATTGAGATAATAACAAAAAGCCTTCCAGCTTTAAAAAAAAAATCCAGGGCCAGATGGCACAGCACAATTTTATCAGACATTCAAAGATGTACAGCCAGTACTTCTTAAACTACTGAGGAAGGGAAAATGAAAGAGAGAGAGAGAGAGAGAGAGAGAGAGAGAGAGAGAGAGAGAGAGAGAGAGAGAGAGAGAGAAAACAAGGAGCACTACCAAACTCCTTTGAAGCTAGTATCACTCTAATACCCTAAACAGAAGACACAACAAAAATATCCTAACAGGCCAATATCACTGATGAACATAGACTAAAAAAATACTGAATAAAATCTTGTAAACAGAACACAAACATACATTTAAAAGGTTACTCACCATTACCAAGTTGGCTTTATCCTTGAAATGTATGTATGGTTCAACCTATGAAAGTCAATAAATGTAATAAACCACATAAATGGACTTAAAGACAAAAATCAAATCTAAATAGATGCAGAAAAAACCTTTGATAAAATCTAACATGCCTTCATGATTAAAAGTCTTAGAGAATGCAGGGCTAGAGCAAACACACCTCAACATAAATAAAAACTATATACAAGAGAACCACAGCCAACATCACCCTAAATGGAAAAAATTAAAATAATCCCAGTGAAGTCAGGAAGGAGACAGGGACACAAACATGAGCCTATATAACTTTAGCCACTAAATATTTGGAAAAGATGCCAAGAACATATACTGGAAGGGGAAAAACAGCATCTTCAATAAGAGGTGCTTGGCAAACTAGATGTCCATATGCAGAAGAATGAAATTAGACCTGTATCTAACTAACACAAAAACTAACTCCCAATGGATCAAAGACCTAAACATGAAACTGCTAGAAGAAAACATAGGCAGTAATCTACATAATTAGGTGTAGGAAAGGATTTCCCAAATAAGCCTCCATTTGCCCTAGAATTAAGTCTAACAAATGACAAATGGGACTTCATGAGACCAAAAAAGCTTCTGCATAGCTAGAGAAACAATCAACTGGGCGAAAATGAGGCCCATAGCGAGGGAGAGGACATTTGCCAGCTATGCATCAGACAGAGGTTTAATATCCAGAATGAAAAAAGAACTCAAAAACACGGAGTCAAATAACCAAATGACCCATTCCAAAAATGGGCATGGTACCCAAATAAAAGTTCTCAAAAGGAAAAAAAAAGTCTAAGAAACATCTCAAAAAAGGTTTATTATCCTAGTTGTTAGGGAAATTCAAAGCAAAACACCTAAGATTTCATCTTCCCACACTTAGAAGGGCATACAGCAATGGAACAACAAACAATAAATGCTGGAGGGATACAGGGGAGAGGGAACCCTCTCTCACTGCTGATGGCCTTCCAAACTGGTCCAGCCCGTATGGAAACCAGCGTGGAGATTTCTAAAGAAGCTAAAAAGAAATTTATCATAACACAGCTCTAGGGTTTCTTGGCATATGCCCCAAAGACTCTACATCATACTCCACAGATATTTGCTTATCCATGTTCATTGCTGCTGCAGTCCCAATAGCTGGGAATGGAAACAACATAAATGTCCCTCAATCAAGAAATGGACAATGAAACTATATATATATATATATATATATATATATATATATATATATATATATATATATACACACACACATACACACACATACATAATGGAACACTATTCAGTTGTAAAGAAAAATAAAATCATGAACTTTGCAGGTAGTGGATGAAATTAGAACAGAGCATATTCAGTGAGGTAACCCACATTAAGAAGAGCAAGTGTCCTTATGTTCTCACTTACTGGAGTTCCTAGCTCCAAATCTTCAGATGTGAGTACACAGTCTATAGTAACTACAGAAAGCAGGACATTAAAATGGTGCCATTGTCAGCATGGGGGTGGGGTGGGGAGCAATAGAGAGGCAGACTAGCAGGAGTCATATAATCTGATCAGGAAAATGGAAAACAGGGGAGCTCTTTAGGGTGAGAGAGGGAGGTAAATACAGAGGAAGGTAGGAGAAAAGTAAAGGGAAACACTAGACACAAATGATCTAATAGAGGAATGGGAAAAGGGGGGTCTCCTTAAAGAAGGGGCATGGAGAGTAAGTACAGAATAATGAGTAAAATAACAATATTTTAAATGAATACATGAAAAAATCAACAAGGAATCATAAATATTAACAATTTACCTAAAAAAACTATAATGCACATAATATACATATATCGTTTTAATGAACTTTTCCCATTTGGGCTGATGATGTTGTTGGCATTCTGGTCCGCCCCTTGGGGACCCGCCCTACATCCTGAAGTAAAGCCTCCTTTAAGGAAAAACCCCTCCCTTCTTCCTCTTCCTCTCTTTCTCGCCATGAGGTGTAGCCAACACCTCCACTTTCCCTCCCTTTCTTTCTCCCTCTCTCCCTCTTCGTGCCCCCCCCAATAAACTCTCCACGTGGATGCTGTGTCTGCATGGTATAAGTGACTTTCCACTGTGCCACACTGCTGCCCACTGCGTCTGCATGGCATGTCTTTCTCATCCACTAGGACACTTTGGTCCAACCCACCAAGGCCTCCCTTGCTGTATCATTACATTGGTGCTGTGTGACTTGGCAGGTTCTCCTGGTGTTTTCTCCAACCCACCTGCAGTTTGAGAAACCCTGGAACTTTTCACTGTATTGGTAAGATTCCTTCCTTCACTTCTGTCCATTTTCCATGAGTGAGGATTCGTCCCATCTCTCAACCACGGCTTCTCAAAGTTCCAGTACCAGCAACCACGTGTCCGGGCCCTACCCTCAGGCCCTTGTCCCTATGTGGCGGCATACGGGACAACCTGTGCCTAATCAGTACCCCACGGCCCATAGCCTTTGGATGACGATCTTGTGCCATCACTGGTCCACGCTGACCCTCTGGGACACTGGAGGTCAGTCTGTTGGACCTTCTGCCTTACTGTGGAAAATGTGCCTACCACCTAACGTCTATCCCCGCTCTAGCCTTCTGGAGTCCTTCCTCATCTCTGCTCCCTCATGCTCCTCCAGTCTCTGCCAAAGCAGTTACATCATCACCTGTCACCAGGTCCTTTTCTGTGACATGTGCAACCTTTAATTGCCCACCAGGCAAAGCTCGTTCTCTTTGCCTGTCCCTTGCCTCTAATTCCTCTCCTTGTCTGTAATTTCATCTCTTGCCTCTTTTCTCTCTCTCGTTTAACTCTGTTGCCAGGACCTCATCTGCCTGTTCTACCCATAGAACTTGGTGCGGCCATTTTCCTGTAGCTGCCTGTCCCTCTTGCCCGACCTGGCTCCAGAGGACCAGGGAAGGCATGGGCTGAGCTGCTGGCAGGGAATGCCCGGACTTGGTGTGGGAGCCCGCGGTGGGGGGGGGGGGGGACACGACGACATGTGAGCCTGAGATCTCCTGGCAGATGATGCTACACATCCCTGAGCCCCGCCCCAGGCTGACAAGTGGGCTGGGAGCCGGTGCATTGGGGGATGGGGCCCTTGGGTGCTTGGGGGTCCCAGGTCCCTCTGCCTGCTGAGCAGAAGAGGTGGCGGACAAGCTGCGGAAATGTCTGGCCACTTGACTATATTTCTCCCTGATTTTTAAACACTTGAGGTTCTCTGTTCTGTAGCTGTTCAGTTTGTCTTAGAAAATAAAAAACATAACACTTGACAGCATGGTCAGGCGCACCATCTTGACTGAGGTAAAAAACAGACAGGTCATTTGGCTTCTTTGCCATCTTTGATGTGGTCAGGGCCCGCCTCTCCCAAGTCTCCACCCAGATGTGGCAGATCCGCTCCCTCCTGCTGGTACCAGGCCTATTTTCTGATTGCTTTCTTGTAGCTTTATAGTTTGCTACAACCTTTGAGTCAGAGATGAAGAGGCCAGCTTTGTCCTGCTCAGCACACACTGGTTCTCCCTTACCTTAAAGATGTATAAATTTATTTTATTAGATACGATTAAAAATCTGTTAAAATTAAAAAATTAGAACTATTAACACTGGGAATTAAAACAATGCTTGTTTAATAAGATATTAAAGCTGCACCTCAATGCTTTTATACACAAGAATACACCTTGCTCTGGCAGCTAAACTTTATAATGTAGAGTCACTCAGACTATAATGGTTTGATTATGGTTGTGCTATGTTTTCTCCCTCTTAAAAGAGAATACTTTATTTTTGATATTGCAGGAAGACATTTGAGAGATTTAAATGCTTCAGATTACTTTCCTTTTCTATGATATTGTTATATTAAGATTTTAAAATTTCAGATTTTAACATTAATAGAATTCTGATACTGTTTGAGTCACAAGCTCAAGATTTTAAATTTTCCTTGGTTGCCTTCTAAATATAAACTTAAACTTCTCTTCAGGCCAAAGACGTCTCTGTCCAATCTGTATCTAGCTCTCTCTAAACAAAAAATGTACATACCTTTTAACCCAAACCTATAATTTTGCTAGGACTCAAAGGTATGAGCCTAGATACCTATTACCTGCTTTTCTATGATTTGGATTTCAATACTGATTGATAATACCAATATATCTAAAACTTTTATGTCCTTTTATAAATTAAGAATTCATATAAGCTTCAGAGGATCAAAAGAAATCATGAAACTTGGATCCATTTCACAGAGGTCAAAAGAACTCCAGATAAATGAGTTTTCCTCACCTGTCTATTCTTGAGGATGGCATTTTTCTCTCTCCTGGTCTCACTTTTCTAATTACTAAGGCTGTGGGCCAAAAAGTTCCAAATAAGTTCATAAATTTTAACTTCTGTTCCTAGTTTGAACTTGTCTCATCAGGTTTTCCACTTGGCTGGCAGACATATCCAAGTGTCAATTGCTGACTTCAATCTGCTCCAAATGACCAGATTGGACTTGCTCTGGACTTGCTAAAGACTGATGTGGACTTGCTAAAGACTGGACTTGCTAAAGACTGATGTGGACCAGCCCAGCCAACGTGATTGTTTTCTGTCTCTACAGCTAGGTCAGATAACCACATACTTCTGAGAAATACCCCACTGCCTGGGTTCCCTCCTTACCTTTGACTGGCCTTTCAGCCTCCCTGGCCTCTGACCACCTTCACCCTGTTTCTGCTTGAAGCAGCTATAGAAGACAGTACATCATCCCTGTCCCCCATCCCCAACACAGGCTAAAGGGCTAAGTCAAAAGAGAAACTCCCTGGCATAAAGGATGAAATGTCTACCTATAACACCCATTGATACACCAGGAAACTGGACCCCAAATTGTCAATGAATAGATTTATTAATTAAAATGATTCTGCAACAAGACACTTGAGCTTCTTTATGCAGAACCAAAGAGGTATTTATATGACCTTAAGAAATTACTACTTCTACATAAATCATTCAGGATTATAATCTGGCTGTACTCAAAGATCAGACTACAGGGCCTTAAAAAATAACAGTGCAAG